CCCCCCCCCCCCCTAGAAAACGTATCAGAAGTCAAAAGAACAAATGGAGGCTGAATTGAAATTAGACTACGAGAGTTATTTGGACCTGGAGAGGAGCATCCTTGTCAATCTTGAGCTGCTCAAATTGTAAGAGAGGAAGTTACATAAGGGGACATGATCGAGATAAGTTTTCTGTAGGGATGTTTTCAGGGCCCTATGGGACTTTCTTTTCTTGTAATCATTGTTTTTTCTGTAAGTTGAATTAGTCAACTAAACAATAGTGTGATTTATAAACATAACTTTTTATTGTACTGCTATTAAAACTTTTTGAATTATGAAGACCCGTTTTGACTTTTGTACTAAATTTTATGCTGACTATAGAAGTTATTGATAATAAAAATTTCACTTTCCTACAGTAATGCAGAACCTTGGACATTTTCTCCACCTGTCCTCAACCTCCATTCAGAGCCCCTGAGCCCAGACAGAAGTGGAGACCAAACTTGTTGCTAATTATCAGATTGTCCCATGCTAAATAAATGGCGCAATTGGTTAAGTAATCAGCACTATAAAGCTATCGGCAGCAGCCACTATCGGCAGTCACTACAGCACAAATTTGATCCCCAGCCAGAGAGCTGACTCACATGGCAGGGCAACCCTCTAATATCTCACCTGCTGCTCCCCTCAGCAGTGTATTCCAGTACATCTGCCTGTCTGCTCACCACTCTGTCTCTGGTGAATCCTACCCCAGGCTCTCAGCACCTCTGGTCTATTCCCCAGTTCTTGTCTAGTGCATAACTAGAAAAATAAATATTTTAAAAATAAAAAAGACTAGCAACAATTCCAGAAAAGTGGAGGGAAGCTGATTGGGGAGAGGGGTCCAATGGACTCTGGTGGAGGACTATAGGTTCCTTGGTGGTGGGTGTTTGTGGTAACACACAGCTGAAGGGTGTGACCCTGTACCACTAAATCATATACAGGGCTGCAAATCAATGTTGGCTCAATAATGATATAAAAAGCACTAGAAAAATGAATCCAGAAATAGGCATTTCAAAGAAGTATACCATAGGAAAGTTATGTTGGGCTTTATCCAGAGAATATAAGGTTAACGGTAGAAATCAATGACTGATTAAAAGAGAATTTGAATAAATTCAATAATTCAATAAATGCAGGAAAACATTTGGCAAGGTTTGATTCCCACTCATGATAAAACAAAAATAAAGTTGTCTTTGTAAACACAATTTTTGTAAAATAAAATTTCTTTTCCGTAAAATGAAGGGAACTTCCTTAACCAAATGCAGGTTATCTAAAAACAATCCTACAACAAACTTAATGCTCCACTTTGAAAACTTGCCTCCAAAATGTAAAAAAGACTTGGTAGTTACCATTGCGTCTTCTAGTCAGACTTTTACTGGGGGCTAACCAGTGTGGGCACAAAAGGGAAAAAACTGACCTGTAGGAGAGCTTGGTGTGGCTCAATGTCACAGGGAGTGGGATGGGGTGGGAAGTGAGGCGGGAGAGGAGCAGGTGGGAAAAGCAGCTTGGATCCCAGCTGTGAGGGCTCTCAAAAGCCAAGCTAGAGAAGCTGGATGAAAATTTGCTGATAGCACGGTCCTAATGGAAGGGCTCAGCAGGAAGGTGATTCAATCATTTGATTTTTAGGGAGATAAGGAATGGATTAGAGTAGGGTGTCTCCCCACCGGAAATCCTATTAGGAGCCGGTAGTAATGGTTCAAGGTAAAAGATAAGAATATTTTGCTCTGCAGTTCAATGTGAAAATAGAAATGGAAGTATGGTTGGATGTAGAAGGGGGGAAAAAAGAATGATGCCAAGGTAGTTCTGTGTTAAGTTCCTAGAAGAAATAAAACTTGAAGTCTTATTTACTTCAAAAGTCAGGTCCATGTCAGCACTGATTCATCTGTGATCCTATGGACAGATGACTTGTAGCTGTGGAACAGAGTCCCCTACCATCAAGGCAGACTGAGAACATTGGCCCTGAAATGCTTTCATAAGGGGTGAATAGTAGCTGCACAGAAAGTGGAGGCGGCCAGAACATGTTAGTTATCATTACTGGAATGCTCACGTGCACCTTGCAATTTACCTTGCAATTAATTTTTTAAACTCCACATGTGCGTCTTTTTTTTTTTTAACAATTTTTTTAAGTCTTCGTTATAATGCATTTTTCTTTCTTATTTTTTTTAAAAGGATTTATTTATTTATCCATACAGAGCTGGGGCACAGGCCAGAGGTGCAGGGCCAGTGAGAAGATTCACCAGAGACAGAGTGGGGAGCAGAACAGGCTAACGGATGAAGTACATTGCTGAGGGGAGCAGCGGGCGGGTCAGGAGAGGTCTGCCACACCATGTAGGTCACCTCCTGAGCCGGGGATCAAACCGTACTGAAGCAGATGCGACTAGCTTGCAGTGCTGTGTCCTAACCCGCTGCACCGCCAGGGAAGGCCCCACATTCGGATCTTAGGTGAATCCTCCAGTCTCACAACTTTAAATATGACCGATTGTGCAGACTTAGACTTCTCTCACAGAAACAGGAGCATCTATTTACCTTAATGTTTACTAGTCACCTCAGGTTTGAACTTTCCCAAAATTAAGCGCCTGACGTTCCCTCTGAAACCCATTCTGCTATCTCCCTTCCAGTCACCTTACTTCTAGTTTCTTAGCCTTGAAGTCACCATTTCTCTCCCTTACAATCCACTCACATCTGTGAACACATCTTGTTGATTACACATTTGAAACATATACACACCTGGTCATTTCCCTTCTTCATCTCTGCTCCCATGGCTGTCCCAACCAGCAGCCAGATGGTACGTGGTGCATGTATTGTTATTTTTAGTGTGTGTTATCTTTTTCCATTTTTATTGTTTGGTTTGGTAGTTTGAATTGGAAGTCAGAAGCTATCATTCTTCTGCTCCAATCTCTTCAGTTTACAGCTCAACTGGTGTATCAGTCAAGGTTTTCCTGCAACCTGCCAGCCTCTGCGTGACCAGCCTCCACTGCCCTCTGGTTTCCTAGCCTCATTCTCCTCCCATCCCTCACATCACCTCAGTGACCATCTCCTAGTCCCCAAATATGGCAGGCACCTTCCTGTTCCAACTGGTCTGTGCTTTCTCCAAAGATTTTCCTATTTTTGTTATCAGGTGTTCCCTCAAAAAAAAAAAAGAAAAGAAAAGAAAGAAAGAAATGTTTTGACTTACACATCAGTCTGTACATTTTTAAAAAGATTTATGTATGTGTTTATTTACTTATGTACGTGTGTGTGTGTATAGAAGAAGTGGGATGTCAACTAGAGGAGCTGAGGATGACAGGATTCACCAGGGACAGAGTTGGGAGTAGTAGAGGTGGATAAAACAAAACACACTGCTGAGGGGAGCAGTGGGCGAGACAGGAGAGGGCTGCTTCGCCATATGTGAGTTTAACTCCCAGGCCAGGGATTGAAGTCAGGCCTTCGAGGTGGTAACTGTGGTTGTGCTAAGACTTAGCCCCTAGGCCACCAGGAAGGCCCCTCAGTCTTTACATTTGTTAACAAGTATTCAGTATACTCTTACAGGGAAGTGACATTTGCACAAAGTCCTGAAAAGGGCAAGGAAGTCTGCCTGTTGACCTTCAGGAGACACACAATCAGTAGTAAACCAGTCTTTCAGCCCCACCCAGCAGGCCTCTGCTATTTCTGGACAGAATTGGCTGTGTTGCTCCTTCAGGGCAAAAATAATAAACTACAGAGAACAGAAGTATCATGAGTGCATGACATAAGCCCTTACCTAGGGCTGCGCATTGTGGCCCCAAACAAAAGCAGGGTTTTATCAGCATGGAAGGAGGGATAATGGATGTTGAATAATGACTGCTTCATGGCTGTGAAGGGCTTAGTATGGTGTCTGGCACAGAGCAAGCAGTTAAGTAAGCTTCCCCGGTCCGTTGGTTAATTTACAAACAACATGATTATAATAGTCTTGCTATAGAAAGTAAACATGGGGTTCATCTTACTTCTGCTATCAGTTCCTATCAGTTTAATACAAGTTTCATTCTGTGTTACTAACCTCAGTTCTTGCAGGTCTTGTCTTCACTCCAGCCTAGACCACCAGTGGCGTCACAGTCATAGCCAAACTTTCAAAGGCTCTTGGCCCACCCACTTATCAGGTCACTCATGCCGCTGCAAAGTGCCTCCAGGTGTGTCCTATAGTGCCCAGGGTGGAGGAAGACACACCTACAAATAAGCCCACCACTCAAGGATGCCCTCTCTGTTGCTACGCTAAGAGTTGCCTAGTAACCTGATGTGGGAGTAGAGAGGAGTGAAAGTGAAGTTAACCTGTGTGAAGACTTCAATCGCCACAGCCACAGCTTTATCCCCTATCCTCCCTTCCTTCCAATTACACTGTGGGTCAATCCAGTCTTGTTTTTCTTCCCTATGTCTTTTGGACTGGCAGGCAGTGCAGTGAAAGAACAGGGGCTTGGGATTCTACCAGACCTGAGTCTGAACCTCAATTTCATCACCTATGCAAGCTGTACTGTCCTCTAAGTCTTAGTTACATCACCTGTAAAATAAGGATAGTTATCCCTACCTCATATAGACCATGCATGTAAAGTACCTGCACATAGTAGGTACTTTTTTTCTTGCATAGTCTCAGGTACACAAAGCCCTACTACCCCCAGGAAAACTGTCATGTTTCTTCTTCTTTTTTTAAAAATGATTAACTTATTTATGCATACAGAACTGGGGTACAGGCCAGAGGTGCAGGGGCTATGAGAGGATTCACTAGAGACAGAGTAAGGAGCAGAATAGGCAGATGGACGAAGTACACTGCTGAGGGGAGCCGCGGGCAGGTCAGGAGAGGTCTGTTGCGCCATATGGTCACCTCCAGGGCGGGGGTCGAACTCACACAAAGCAGCTACAGCTCACCCACAGTGCTGTTCCTAACCTGTTGCATCAGCAGGAAGGGCCTTCTTTTTTTTTTTTTTTTAGGTTTATTCACCTATACATACAGAACTGGGATACAGGCCAGAGATGCAGGGGCGGTGAGAGGATTCACCAGCGGCAGATTGGGGAGCAGAACAGGCAGATGGACAAAGTACACTGCTGAGGGGAGCAGTGGGCAAGACAGGAGAGGTCTGTTGTGCCATGTGGGTTACCTCCCTGGCTGGG